TCATGTACCTAGTCGTAGACAAGATCTACACCATATGTACCATACTTGTTTTGAGTCATACAAAATCCGGGAAGAACATATCCCTTCGATTCAAGCTATAGAAGATATGGACTTCCAATATTTTCCTACTCTTAAATCCTAGAAGTTTGATAAACTCTTTAAACTCAAACCTTTTGTTTATCATCAATTAGTCAGCATTTTTCTATTCCAATGTCGTATATGTCCAAAACGAGCGCCGATATGAAATTATAGGAATTCGATCCTATCTTTTAGGACAATTCATTTTTATTGACTCCGGCATAATCGCTACCCATTTTGGACTAGATAACTAAGGATAGTGAGAGAACCCTAAGAACTCATCATGATAAATTCCTTCATTATTTGATCTTTTGGTGGTTAGACCATCCGGAGGTAGGTACTCCTCCCTTAGGAACATAGATATATGGTGGTTATATTGTATCCAACATAAAAAGAAGATTAATCTGCCACATATCATCTTTAGTGAGTTTCCATAAACATTGTTCCTTTCAAGAATATAGAAACCTTGGTTTATGGTTGTCTCCTTAGTAATTTGTTTATCAAACTCGGTCTTTGGGTCAATGGGTTTATCGTCCCGAACTCAAAACTTTTAATTGTGAAACATTTTGATGTTCATGGATTGTTTTATTTTGGGTGTTTGAATTTGTTGGATAATTGGATATTTGAACTTACATGCTTATATATTTGGTTTGATTTTCACTTTCATTTTGAGCTTAATGTTTATTTTTGCATCATTTACAGTTGCATTATGACCAATTTTTGTCATTTCACATTGTTTATGAATATTGAATTATGGAACTAATGGCTAATCTTTCTCTTGATTATGATCTTAGCAGCTTACGCTATATTTAGTTATCAATTGGCTAATTGTTTTTCAAAAACTTGTTTAAAATCTTTTAAAGGTCTTTTTCATTTAACAAAAAGGGGGATAAGTGTTAAAGTAAGGGGGAGTAATTTTCAAAATCTTAAAATTACTAAAATATTTTGTTATATCAAAAAGGGGGAGATTGTTGAAAACATTTTGATATTTCGATATAACAAATTAAGTTAAATGAATTTTAAGATTTTCCAAAAAGATTTTCTAAGTATATTCGATATAATTATTCGAATATCAAAATAATACTCCAAATCTTTCAAATGTCATTTTTAATCCTTAATCAAGTGTAAAATTAAGTTTTAATCTTAAAATAATTTCGAAACGATTTTACAAAATATTTCGAACCATCTCAAAGCCAAAAATTCCATATTGCTCAGAGGGAACCGATTCCCCCCCAAGGGGGTATCGTTTCCCCCTAAAGGATTTGGCTCCGAGAATTCCAGTATGCTCGGAGGGAACCGATTCCCCCCAGGGGTACCAATTCCCCCTGTTCAACGGTTGAAATATTTGAATTTTATACTTAGGGAACCGATTCCCCATTAGGGGTACCGATTCCCCCCACGCTCCAAGTTGTTATATTAATGATTTTCACACTTAAACGGCTCCATTGACTCCACTAATCATCCCCAACGTTCAGAATCAATTGAGGGAGTATTTAAACAAGTTCTGAAACCTTTGATCAAGGAGAAACAATAGAGAAAGCATCAAACACCAAGTTTGTGCAAATCAAGCCAATTTTCCTTTCAATATTCATTTTGCTTTCAAGAACACCATTTATGCTCATTTATAATTATTTTTTAGTGTTCTTTTCTTGTTCTAGAATTGTGCAAATATCTTACCTTGTGAGGTTTTCCTTGTAAGTTTGCAAATTTGTGTATTTCTCTTTCAAAAAGAGTGTGCTCAAGAATTTGGGTATAATTCTTGAGGGAGTTGTAAGGTTACTCTTTGTCCTCAAAAGAAAGAACAAATTAGTGAATTTGTTAGAAAATCCTTAGTGTGGATAGCTAAGGTAGTGGACGTAGACTTTGGTTGAGAAAGTCGAACCACTCTAAATCGCTGTGCAAATTTCTTTCAATTTTCTGCAAAAGCTTCCACCAAAATTTTAATTGCCAATTCACCCCCCTCTTGGCCATATTCGTCAATCGATTAACTCAATAAAAATGTTTTCAACAAATACATGTATAGGTTTATATGTTATTCTATGTGCTATGTGATGTATATATGAACATATGTGAATAAGATATAACATACGTATTTACATAAACAAATGAGAAATGATATAAGCTATATGATAGATGATATGTGAACGTATTTAAATGACATATGTTATATGATATGAAATGGACGATCATATGCACATGTGATATGTGATAGAAGAAATGAGATGAGTACATGAATATATGAATCATAAGAAAAATGCCCATGTTATATAATATGAGAGCTATATGTATAGTTGGCATGCCAAGAGTCGAGGGTCTACGCGGTCCTTCGGGATATATACATAGGTCCTTCGGGACAAATTTCACATGCCCCTAGTGGGACCACATACGAGTTGTGGTGACAACATATATGCACAACCTCTATGTACTCAAATATCTTTAGTTCTCATAAGTATACCATGGGCTAATAAAGAGACAATAACAAATAAATATTTGTGTTGTATATGAGGATATAAAATGTGTTATAGGAATTATATGATGTTATGCGTGTTTCTTTATGAAATGATATATATGTTATATGATATACAGAAATGATAAGTACAAGATCATATGATAAATGAGTTACTGATAATGATAGAGATTAATGTTGATAATGATGATATATGAGTGTGTATGCATTATGTTATATGAAATGTTATATGGAGCTATTATATGTTTTTATATGCTTCACTAAGTCAATGACTTAGCGCGTTATTGTTTCACACGTAGGTTCCAAAAAGAGGAAGAATGATAAAAGTTAAGCATGACAGGTCAGTTCTCCTTTCCAAAGATCATATCAGAAAAGAAATGAATAGTTTGTATTTTGTAATACTAATTGTGGTTGGCATGTAAATAAAGGTTTGAATCTTATATGTTCTAATCGGTTTTGTAAAATCATATGATCGAGTTTTGTAATGTTTTAAAATGTATATATGTAAATGGTAATCTTTATGGTGATGAAAGTTTAATTTTTATGAGTTTTATTACTTTAGCAAGGGTATCAGTACACTGTAGCAGGGTATCAATACGCCTGTAGTATTCCAGAAAATTTTAGCATTCGATACTGTTCACAGTATTGTTCATTACTATTCATCGTATTGTACATTATTGTTCACGTTATTGTTCATACCGTATAGTACTATTCATAAAAACGTTTATTTCCTTAAATTTGTTATAACAAACATAATTCAACGGTATATTATCGTATTTTCTTAATATAAGTCCAAACATTTTGTTATTTTGTAAGAATATTGTTTTAAAAAGTCAATGTGACATCTCGAACTCGTATCCGGGTCGGGTACGGGTTGGGGTGTTACATTATTAACTTATTTGGTTTGTCTAACATGAATATAAGATCACAGTGTTTAGTTTGAGAAATATAAATTTATTTGGATGCATATTTTATCAAGTTATTCATGTAATATATATTTTTCCAACAAATTAAACTTTAATATTAAATTATAAATATTTGAATGAAAATTCATAAAAAAATATTTTAATTATTACATTGTCTAACTTTTTAGAAAAAGTACATTTAATGTATAATTAATATAAGGGTAAAGTATACAAATAGTCTCCCGACTAGGGTGATGCTTTATTGAGTCATTAGACTATTAAAAGTTGTAAAATTGTCAGTCGACTATAAGGTGTTGCTTTGTTGAGTCATCCGACTATTAAAAGTTATAAAATGGCCACCCGAGTATTTAGTATGTTCCAAATTTGTCCTTCTTCATTAAAAAAATTAACGACATTTTGAGCTAGATGTTAACCTGATGATTGAGATATGATAAAATTTGATCCCATAATCTAAAAAAGAAAAGACCATATCTCAATCAAGAGGTTAACATTCAACTCAAACTGTTGTCCATTTTTTAACGGAAAATGACGAGTTTGGAACATACTAAACAGTCGGGTGAGCATTTTGTAACTTTTAGTAGTCAGAGACTCAACAAAGTAACACCCTATAGTTGAAGGACCATTTTGTAACTTTTAATAGTCGAGGGACTCAACAAAACATCACTATATAATCGAGGGATTATTTGTATACTCTACTCTTAATATAATTAATATATCAAATTATATTTTTAAATAATTTTTTATAAGTATCATATTTATTTTTATATAATATAATTAGTATAAAATATTTATTCATAGAAATGGGCACATGCTCAAGAATAGAACCAAACCAGATTTATAGTCCGAATTCACTTTGATACCTACTTCACGTTCAGAAGCATAATAATTCAAGACATCAATATGAAACAATCTTAAAGGGTTGTTTGGTTAGGGGAATGTGCGATTTTTATGGGAATGGAATCCACATTCTCTGTTTGATTGGTCGGTAATCTCATTCTCAGTAATGTTTTATTACCAATAGTGGATTTTTGGGGTATATTACCGGGAATGTCATTACCCCCTTCCCTTAGGTATTGTTGGATTACAGTGTTTTGGACTAAAATGCCCTTAATTGTTTTTTCAAAAATATTATTCTTCTGTTATTGAATAGTAAAAAATCTACGAAGGTTAAATTACAAATTTATCCTTAAACTAATTTAGATTTACAAAAAATTCTATAATTAAAATTTTATATGAAGTTCAATGATTAAAATAAAATTTTACCCTTTCATTAAACCTTTTTATATTTTCAATTTTGTATAAAAAATTATATGAATTTAATTTTTTTAAAATATATAAATATTTTCCAACTTGTTAAAAAAACAAATATATAATAAGGATAATTTGGTTAAATATACATTCCAATAATCTTTTATTCCTTTAACCAAACACGGTAATTTTACATTCATGCTAAATCAGCCAAACACAAAATACAATATTCCTAGTAATCTTATTCTCTGATAATCTTTTATTCACACTGGTAATCTTACATTCTGTGAATCAAGCGCACTCCAAGGGTGAAAGGCGGCAACCGGCGAGCGAACTTTTGAACCATACATCTTTTGCATAATTATGCATGCAGTCCATGTACTCTGCATGCAGTCCATGTACTCTTTGGACTTTTAAAATTTAATCTTATATTTATTTACTTAAGAAATTGCCTCTCTACTCTTAAGACGTACAAAATTTAGTCCACCTACTCTAATTGCAGCAATTTAGTCTATTGATACAAGGACTTGGAGCATAAACAGTAAATAATACCTCATGTAAACGAAACATATTGGGGTGTTTGAGTAGCTTCAAGATGGAGATTTCTCTCTTTATCTGTAAAAAATATTAAGAAATCAAGAACTCGTCGAAGAATAGAATATATATATATATATATATGTGCATTTTTATATCGAGTATTTGAAATGACTTAGGGGAGACCTGTCGATGATGTTGAGTTGAATGAGTTGGACTTATCGAGGACCTTAATAGTAAAAAAGGATAGATGAATGACTATTGATATTTACCTTGAGTATCAATATAATTTTTAGCTTCGAAGATTCAATAGATTACTCGGGCATTGATATCCTATTATCGGTATCAATACCGCACAAATAATATTGATATCCTAATATCGGAATCACTTCAAATTATCTCTAAACTCTCTTGTTTAAGCCCTACTTAATTTATAAAGCTTATGCGGTTACTTAGGATCATTTAGCACTTTTCAAACACATGTTAAACAATAAATGACACAATTTGAATTCAATGCACGCATAAACACTTAAAATACTCAACATGGTCAACCAACAAAGCATCACATTTAGGAAACACAAGTAGGACTTCAAAATTCAATGTGTACTACATTAATGTTTAGAACCCAAAACGAAGCTCCTTGATCAACTTTCACCAAGTTTCTTCTTCCCCTTAGCATTAGATGGCTCTGCAACTTCTTGCACTTCACACGCAAGAGTGGAAAGTGTTGGTCAAAATGCAATGGCAGCCGGCGGCTTGGAATTAAAAAAAGGGGCTGCTAAAATATGGGATGCTAAATGACATGGGAAAAGTAATTTTAGTCACTAGACTTTAGGGTATTTTCAAAGATTAGTCCCTAAGCTTCAACTATAAATACCCTAGCTCATTTAGCTTCTAAACCATCCCAAATCATTTCTTTCTCCCAATACTAAAGAGTTTTCTTGTGAGTAGTGAGTGTTTTGTAAACACCTGTAAATTTTCTCTCCTAGTAAAATATATGCAGCAGTCCGGAGACGTAAGCAAATTGGCTGAACTCCATTATCAATTTCGGGTATTATTTTTCTGCTTTTATTTTGCATTCTCACTAATCTGGTTATAGGGAAATTTCTCGTTACTCGTTTAATTTTCCAACAACTGGTAATCAGAGCTTTTGGTTGTCAATTTTGTCAATTTTTTTGCGATGTTACTATTCATCACTATTCAAATGAATAGTGAATTTCGTGAATAGTAAAAATTTTGTTGACGATACGAATTTGTCGACGGAGGTGTTCTAATACACGGTGGTTCGCAAGAATTGTCAGAAACGATCCAAACGAAACTAGATTCGAGTGGGAGCGATGGTTGTAGACGAAGGGAAGGTGAAAATTGAAAAGTTCGATGGTGCGGACTTTGGCTTTTGGAAGATGCAGATTGAAGATTTTCTGTACCAGAAAAATCTATATCAACCTCTATCAGGAAAACAACCATATGGCATGAAGAATGAAGACTGAGCTCTTCTCGACAGACAAGCCCTCGGAGTTATCCGACTGACGTTGTCCCGCAATGTTGCTTTCAACATAGCAAAGGAAAAGACCACGGCGGGTCTTATGGCGGCTCTTTCCAATATGTATGACAAGCCATCGGCCTCAAACAAAGTTCATTTGATGAGGTGATTATTCAATTTGCGGATGAAAGAAGGAGCATCGATGGCTCAAAACCTAAATGAACTCAAGACAATCACAACCTAGTTGAGTTCAGTGGAAATTGAATTTGATGATGAAGTTCAAGCTTTAATTTTGTTATCATCTCTACCAGACAGTTTGAATGCTACTATTACAGCAGTCAGCAGCTCGTCGGAAAATGTTGAGTTAATCGATTGACGGAATCGGCCAAGAGGGGGGTGAATTGGCAATTAAAGTTTTTGTGGAAGCTTTTGCAGAAAATTGAAAGTAATTGCACAGCGATTTACAGTGGTTCGACTTTCTCAAATAAAGTCTACGTCCACTACCTTAGCTATCCACACTAAGGATTTTCCAACAAATTCACTAATTTGTTCTTTCTTTTGAGGCCAAAGAGATAACCTTACAATTCCCTCAAGAGTATACCCCAACTCTTGAGAACACTCTTTTTCCCAAAGAGAAGATTACAAATTTGCAAACTTACAAGAAAACCTCACAAGGTAAGATGTTTGCACAATTCTAGAATAAGAAAAGAACACTCAAAGAAAATTACAAATGAGCACAATAAGTGTTCTTTGAAAGCAAAATGAATATTGAATGAAAATTGGCTTGAATTGCACAAACTTTGTGTTTGATGCTTTCTCTCTTGTTTCTCTATGATTTCTTGCTGATCAAGGGCTTCAGAACTTGTTTAAATACACATTGAATCACTTCTGAATGTTGGGGATAATTAATGAAGATAATATAGCCGTTTTAGTGTGAAAACAATTAATAAAACAGCTTGGAGCGTGGGGGGAATCGGTTCCTCCTTATAGGGAATCGGTTCCCTAAGTGTAAAATTCAAATATTTCGACCGTTGAACAGGGGGGAATCGGTACCCCCTATGGGGGAATCGGTTCCCTCCGAGCATTCTGGAAATCTCGGAGTCAAACCATTCAGGGGGGAATCGGTACCCCCTATGGGAGGGAATCGGTTCCCTCTGAGCAATCTGGAAATTTTGGGTTTGAAATGGTTCGAAATATTTTGAAAGATTATTTTGAAATTGTTTTAAGATTAAAACTTAATTTTACACTTAAGTAAGGATTAAAAATGATTTTTGAAATATTTGGAGTAATGTTTTTATATTCGAATAAATTTATCGAACATACTTTAGAAAATCATTTTGGAAAATCTTAAAATTCATTTAACTTAATTTGTTATATCGAAATATCAAAATGTTTTCAACAATCTCCCCCTTTTTGATATAACAAAACATTTTAGTAATTTTAAGATTTTGAAATCAAGTTTTGAAATTACTCCCCCTTACTTTAACACTTCTCCCATTTATCATTTTAAAAACACACACTTAAACACACTTCTTCTCCCCCTTTTTGTTAAATAAAAAAGATTCAAATAAACGTGAAAAATATTAAGCCATTTGATTAGGTATATGTATGCATAAGCTGCTAAGATCACAATTAAGAGAAACGTTAGCCATTAGTTCCGTAATCAATATTCATAAATAATGTGATATGGCAAAATTGGTCATATTGCTAATAATGATGTAAATGATGCAATAACGAATAAAACACACCAAACATATAAGTTCACACTATCCATAAATCCAGAATCCAACAATCCACAAAATCAAACAATTCAAAATGTTGAAACAATATTCATTTTGTTCAAAGTTGTAAAGCTAAACACAAAATCAAGCATCCGGATCGGTATGAGGAAAACGGGCTCGCATAGCAGCCATTTCATAAGTTAGTTCATTAATACGAGCATTGGTTGCTTCATTGTTTGCACGCATCTCCTGAAGAATCTCTAATTGTTGAGCTCCCATTGTGGATAAATGAGACTCTATAGAGGAAAAGTGCGAATCCATTGTCGCATAACGGAAATCAAATGTCTCCATAAAGGATTGAAAATATGGAGGCATTTGAGTCGATTGTTGTGTGTGCTCCTCGGGTTGTTCAGGTTCTTCTTCAGCTTCATCGATATCCCTCATTAATTGTTCAAACTCGGGATCTTCGTCAGCTTCGGGTGGAGCTTGTGAAGAACTAGCTCCCGGAGTAGAAGATCGAACCCATGCACCGGTTTCCTTATTTTTGACCCATCCCGCTCTTGTTAAAGAAAGAAGATTGATTTGTTTCTTAAGAGGAAATGAGGCATCTAGACCAACTCGGAGTTCGGCTTTAGAAAAGAGATTACTAAGGATACAACCGTAAACTAGTGAAGAACAGAGTTTCTTATTTGGCACTAAGTTAACGGTTTCAACGATCTCAGCAAAGATAATCTCGGAAAGGTTTATTTTTATATTGTTTTCAAAACAATGCAACCACCAAAGGTCTAAAGCTCTAAGAGTAGAATAACGACCCCCGGATGGTCGAAACCACCAAGTGATCATAAGATGAAAAAAACGCTCATGGAGATCTAAAACACTTACACTATCATTCCGTTTATATCGTGAGCCTAAAACTTGTTTTTCGTTTGATAAACCTTCATTATCCAAGCCTAAGGCATTGGCTATGTAATCAGGATCAAGATGGAAATATTGACCTAGGAGGTAGGAACGCACTCCTATGGTTTTGGTTTTGTCACGATTTTTGATACAAACGGCATTACAGTAGAAGATACGAACAAGTTGATGATAGACAATGGGTTCAAGTTCGAAAAGTTTATCAAATTTCCATTCGTGCAAGATAGGGAGATATTTAAAGTTAATATCAACCATAGTTTGAAGAGATGGGATACGTTCTTCCCTAATCTTATATGAGTCAAAATATTGGTAAAACCAATAACGATAATCTTTAGGACCCGGTTGATTGAAACAAGAATTTTGGATAGTCAAGTTAGGATCAAGATTTGGAATAGGATTTTGAGGAATAGGAGGAGGATTTGTTTGAAGACTAGAACGACTAGATGAAGACCTAGCACGTTTAGGATTGGACATGGTTTAGGAAATCGGAATAGAATTGATAACCTGCAATTTTAAAAACAAATGTATGCAATTCAATTAATCCCAAAACTCAAATGAGTCCTCAATATTTCAAGGTTCTCTAAATCAATCCTAATGGGCAAAAGTTTTTGAAAAACTTTTGAAAAGTATGGTTTTGAGAAACAATATATGTATAGTTTTTATAACAACAACATAATTTAATCAAAACACAAT